AGACAGTAATGAAACTATTTCAAAGTAATGAGTCCACTTCCAAAGTTCTAATAGAAAACTTGAGCTAAAATCTGAGTAAAGTGAGGTGAGGCCAAGTATGGTGACCCATACTTGGAATTAGTGCTCTGCATTTATCCCATCCAAAGTGCACACACACAGCAGTGAACACACACACACCGTGAACACACACCCGGAGCAGTGGGCAGCCATTTATGCTGCGGCGCCCGGTGAGCAGTTAGGGGTTCGGTGCCTTGCTCAAGGGCACCTCAGTCGTGGTATTGAAGGTGGGAGAGAGAGTGCTGTACATTCCCTCCCCCCACCCACAATCCCTGCCGGTATGAGACTCGAACCCACAACCTTTGGGTTACGAGTCCGACTCTCTAACCGACTCTCTAACCATTAGGCCACGACTTCCCTTTCGTAAATTGATAAGCGTAATTGTATCTTTTGAACTTAGACACACAGAAACAAGCTGCTGTCTTCTCCTCGCATGTCTTTTGAAATCGAATTAAAGGGGTCAATGCCAGTTGGGTTACTATAAATACCAGAGAAGCCATTTTGCATGAGCATCCTCACAATGCTCTGGGAACCGTGCTCGTAAATCAGACGTCCCCTCGGTGAATCGTGTCTTTGATGGGGCCCTGCTGGCGTTCTCCTCTAATGAAGAAAAGAGATGATGAGGAGGCCCTACTTTTGCGTCTGTAACTCACAACACTGGAGTGTATTATTACATAAAGCAATTAAGAGGCCCCTGGACACCCACAGATGGAAATGTTTTCTCCCACAGACTCTGAGAAGATGTTACAGCCAGATCATGTTATATGTGTGAAAGGATGTCGACGCTTTTTATGTTTTGATTCGCAGCCCACAAGCATGCTTTAATTCATAGAAGGCCTTGTTAAAAGACAATGGCAGTAAATTATTTTATGAGATTCACACAAACTCTCAGGAAGTGCACCTATATGAGGGCAAGTACAGAAAACATGGTCTATAAGCTGATAAATTAGACAAATGTATTGCTCCCAGACATCTGCCTCACAACACACACACACACACACTCTCACCGTGGCTGACTCTTAACTTTTATAAAGAATATCTCTTTGGATTTGAGACTTTAGTCTTTGCAACTTTACAGATCTTCTTTATGCACCAAGAGCTTGTAACAGTCCAAAGAGAAAGGAAAAATTGAAATCGCATCATATGACCCCTTTAATGTATGACCTTTTCACGAATGCATGCTTGGGAAACTCTGCTCACCCCTGCTTCTCGTTTTATGCTTTGTTCAAAGTAAGCATCCGTATTTTGCTTTTATTTTTGACGGCAAACACACATCTTCTGCGTCCAGAACAACAGCACTATTATAAAGTCTTCAGCTTATCAGAGGAGTTTAGCCATTTATATTTCTCTCTCAGGACACGGATCAATGAAAACAGAGGAGGTTCTTTGTTTATCAACCCTCGAGGGCCTGCATACGATTTCACATGGAAATGACACTGGGGGAGATAGTAAACATGGCGTTTTTACGATTGCTTAACATTACAGCCACTGAGGCAACTATTGTTTAACTCGTGACACCTTTTACACTTTTCGGTCGGTCTTAATTTTCTCGTCTCATCTCCTAACAGTCTGTACGCAGATGTTTAGAGATACTCCACCCGGCCTGCCCACAAAAATGAGATTCTTCTTTGAATAAAATGATGCAATGCTATCGTGATGAACAAGTGACTGTGCATGCAAGCTACGAAGCTCGGAAGACCAGGGAGAGAATAAAACGAGACGCCAATTTTCCTCATCCTGTGGTAGTTTTATAGATTACAGCTGAGGGTCTTCTTGGAAAACAGATGGAGAGCCATTCCTCTCCTCATCCTCGAGATCATTAGCGCACAGCTTCGATGACATCTTCAGCTGAGAGTTGATCTGTAAATCGTTGTCATGCTGTAGGCAAACCAGCCTCTTTAGCATTCTGCAAGCTCTTTCGGCTTTTCCTGGCTTGAATCAGAACATATGTTGGCCATTTCGGGATCCGTTGTTTCTTCCTGATGCATTCCTGACCTTGAGGAGCTGTGCAGTCGGTTTTCATAAAGCGAGTGTCTTCAAAAAGACTCTGAAGCCACTCGCTTTTTGAATATATTGGGAGATTATTGCATGCAAATATCAGTTCATAGTCTTTGATTGTATGAAGAACGTGTTTACATTGGTCGGGCAAACACAGAACAATTCAATAAAATCAAACTTTGACGTGACAACACAAAAATGCTCATCACAAGTAGAATATGCATCATTTATTAGTTAATGTGGGCAAACTGAAAAAATAAAATATGGTCTGTGTGTGTGTGTAGGTTCATACTGTAAAAAAATCAATGTTTTACAAAAAGATTTTTACAAGAAAATACGGTAACACTTTATTTTACGGTGTCCTTGTTACACATTACATTAAAATAACAATAAATTATGCATAATTACATGCAGGTAACCTTAAGACAAACCCTAATCCTAACCCTAACCATATAGTGAGTAGAGTACATGTAGTTAAATAATATTACTCAGTACTTAAATGTAGAATTACACTGTAGCAGGGACACCTTAAAATAAACTGTAACCAAAAATATTTACAAATTTCATGTTCAGTTTAATGTGTTACCTGCTTCTTTTTTTCCGGGTGAAGACACTGAACTTTTATATATATGTATATATATATATATACAATTTTAGTTTTTGTTAATAATTTTGTTAGCATTTTAGTCATTAGTTTTTTATATGTCTGATCGTTTTCATACATTTTTATTTCAGTTTTAGTTTTAGTTATATTAGTAGCCTAAATCAAGATATAAATAAATATACTAAATAAAAATTATTTGACAACAAGCTGAAATAAAATAGGTTAAGTTTATATATATATATATATATATATATATCAGTTTAAGTTTATTTGGTAAGACTTTACAATATGGTTCCTTTAGTTAACAATAGTTAATGCATTAACTAACAAGGAGCAAGACATGTTTTACTGTATTTACTAATCTTTGTTAACATTAGACAATACAAATACAACTGTTTGTTGTTAGTTCATGTTAGCTCAGTTCCATTAAATAATATTAAAAGATACTTTTGATTTTACTAATGCATTAGTAAACATTGATATTGACATTAACTAGGATTAATAAATGCTTTGTAATTTTAATAAATGAAAGTATTTTTCATTATTAGTTCATGTTAGCTAATGTCAACAAATGGAAGCTTATTGTAAACTTACTGTTTATTTTATTTCAAGTAACAAAAATATTATATACACATATATAATGTCTTTGGCCCTTTATTTTCAGGCATTAAATGCAACTTTTTACTACTTCCCAAGCCGTGTAAAAATATGACACCTCAAATTTACCAGGTTATTTAACAGCACATATACATTGTTTGCAAAAACAAATACCAACTTTTTATTTTTTCCTTGTTAAATGGTCATCTTGCCAACATTTATTTTCAAAGGCGCACTTAACCAAGCCATGCTCTGGAAAATAAACAGATTTTTTATGTAAACGTGAGCTTCCTCGGATGAAATGGATCCAGTCCAAAGTGATAACAAACCAGTGCACTTTTGCTGTCAGTCCAAGGTCAAACTCTGAATACTTCAAAGCTTCTTTTATTTTTGAAGTGTTGAGGCACCATATAAGTGAACGCAAAGGGTCTTTGAGTTTGTCTTATTCCTCACGCGAATCAAAGGCCAGATGAAAGCCTTTAACTTGTTTTAATGTGAGGGGTAATTTTACTAATCAAAAAGTCATGCACAGCAAAAAAAGAGACCTTAAACTTCATTTTCTGTTGAGAATGCTATTGTTGTCTTATGTTTCCCAGAGATCCCAATTCTTAAAGTGTAAATAATAAATAATTTCGAAAAGAACCACAACCTATTTTATGTTCATATGACCTAATCAAAGCCCATTTGACAGGTTAACCTTTCTGTTCTATCAAATGTGATTTAAAGCAAATATTAAGACAACATATAATCTGAAACATATTCTCTCAGAAAGTGAGATGTGAATACTTGACAGACAAATATAAAGCGTAGTGCATCAAAAAGCCTATAAAACGAGTAAAATTCACTCTAATGCTAAATAATTTTGAGAAGGTTAGTAGTTCTCTTTAAGGTAGTCCACACAAAGTTCAACAGGTTGCCTCACAGTCGGCTGATTACACCTAAGGGAATTGTTTACAAATCTTCCAGCAAAGGTAATAAAACGTTTTTGTGACTATAGTATAAACGAAACGACGATCTCTGCTATTAACTTCAAAGTTATTACTATGTATGCACATTTCTGCGTATGAATCATCCAGAAAGTGTAGCTCCTCCTTAACGATTCAGAGAGGGACGGACGCTCACGAATCGGTTCCTTCGAACGAGTCTTTTAAAAGAACGAATCTCTTTTCGATGCACCTCATATTTTAGATGGCTGAAGTTGATCTTTTTTTACGGTTATAATAAGAGTTATGAATAAGTAAAAATTACCATATGCACCTACAATGACGTACACTCTTAAAAATAAATGTTCTTTATTGGCATCAAATGGTTCCATGAAGAACCTTACCATTCAAGGTTCTTTATAGTGGAAAAAGATTATTTTGATTTTTAAAATGTCCTTCATAGTCATACTAAGAAAAAACGGTGCTTTAATAGCTATTTACTGAAAAGTTTTTTTGTGGAACCAAAATTGTTCTTCTGTGGCATTGTTTTGAAAAGTGTAAGGACGTTCCTGAAACTCCTAATTTATTTAGGCTATTTTGTTGTATTGTTCAATAGCTTGAGAAAATGTTATGCCCAGCAGCTGACCAATGGAGAAAAATATATTTCTGAGTTGCAAATTGTGGGGAAAAGGCTTATTATCCTTAAATGCTCTCTCTGGAGTCCCTTCATGATTTGTAGAGACACATATTTAAATATAGCTCAATAAGAAAAAGACAACTCGACCTGAAAAAGACTTGACTCGTTCTTCGGCAGAACGAAGGAGTCACTGAATGAATCGTTTAAACTAGGTGATTCAAAAGAACCGAGTCACTTGGATGAATCAAAATCCCAACCACTAGAATGGAGAGGGTCAGGAAGATCGGTGGGTGGGGTTAACCCTTTGTGGAAAAAAAAATTAAGGAACCACGTGTTCCCCGACCAAAGGAGACCCGCTTTGTACAGAGAGCGCTAGAAGCAGCCAGCGAGGCAGAGCGAGTAATGCGATAGTCCAGGCTGCGATGGGGAAATAAGCCACGACATTCTTCTCAAGGACAAACTTTTATTTTTAATGATCGCTATTCTCACGTCTCATTGCGGTTTGTTTTTTTTCCTCCCCCTTTTTTGTTGTTTGTATTTTTTGGGAGGGCACGCTCTCCTCTCAAATTTGATTCTGAATCGACACTTTTTTGAGAACCCTTGGAAATTATGTACCGATCGGCGCTGATCCAACCGGCAAGATGATGATTTTACCGAGGAGTGGGTTCGGTCGTGGTGCTGATTCGGGGGTCTTGGTGTTGTTTTGGGTCTTGGGAAGCGTCCTAGCCAAGGATACTGCCTTTGTGGAAGTTGTGCTTTTTGAATCGAGCCCAAATGGTGATTATACCACTTACACGACAGGTTTGCAAGGGCGCTTCTCCAGAGCCGGAGCCACTATCAGCGCAGAGGGCGATATCGTGCAAGTACGTTTCCGTCTCTACCGGTGCACTTGCATGGGGATTTGACGCTCTCTGTGCGGTGCATTCGCTCTCCGCTACTTTGTTTTTCTCTGTCTTTTCAAGCGGGTGTGGGGTTGCACTTCACTGTGCGTGGATGATGGTGCAAGCAAGCCGAGAACTATGCGCTTGCAAAATGGCCTCTTGTCTCTTGTCAAAACATGCAAACGTAGGCTACTTGCAAAAAAGTTACTTGGATGCACAACTTGCATGAATGGTGTTGTTGTGTGCCGCAGAAGCGCACGAGGAACGTGCAGAAACAAACACGGCGCAAACTTTGCAGCGCAGATGACAGCGTTAAACACGTGTCAGAGGTTATCAATTTTAATAAGAACTGCATTCCCCAGATCTTTTGCGGCGTTATAATGCTCACAATCAATGGAAACGTGGAAAGATTAAGGATGTCCAGGCCCTGGGAATTAATAAAAGTTTAAAAGTTATAAAAAAACATTTAAATTTTTTCCCCCCTGCTTATGCTCCTTATATGCTTATGTGCTTGCAATGTATTTAAAATGTATCTATATAAATAAATAAAAAGGTATGCGGTAAGCACATGTGACTGGAAAAGTCAGAATTTCTCCTATAACTTTTGTTAATTTCCAAAGTAAATATAATTGTTCTAGTGGTGGAAAACATTAATGAGGTGTGAGAATCCTGTAGAAAGACCTTCAAGATGACCTGAGGTTACTCTTAAATCATATTAATAATAATCCTAATGGTCTGGTTTAAATACGACACTTAATGTCATATAAATGTCCTTTGTTTAAAGTTCATTGAAGGTTGTGAGAAATCTTCTCCGTAATGTGGTCCAGATGCCCACTCTGCTTAAATAGCATCTGCACAGGGACTTGTGCAATTTGATAAATCGTTCATGAACCATCACACCTACGTGTGATTTATTCCTTTTATTGCACACACACACACACGCACGCACGTGGTTTTGGGTTGTGCAATGCTTCTAAAGAGCGTCCCATTTTCATGATTTGTTGAAGGTTTGTCGTTCTTCCCCTCCTCTTGTGAAAACAGAGAACAGGCATCAAAGAGCGAGACGTTATTGAATGCCACGCCAAGAGGAATAATATGTCCCTTAAACACTGCTGGCTGAAGTGCACTGTGGGAAGTTATGGTGACTGTGTCTGTAATGTGAAAGGGATGCATGATGCAGATCAAAGCGGATGCCTGATATGCTTTTTGATGAATGCAAAAATGTATTTTGAGTCAAAAGTTTTGCAGTAGTCCATCTTTCAAAGGCTTCTTCTATTGCTTTTGTGCTTTTCTCATACAGTCCTCCCTGTGGTTTTAGTGTAGAAAAATGAAAAGTGCAGGCTTTTTTACGTCCAGGTCTGCTGTGTCCATCCCACATCGTTTACAGTTGTGTACTTAGTAGTGTTAGAACGTTCCCATGTATAGGATTAGTGAGTATCACATTCTTCAAAATGGCAAGTGGTGATCATCATTTTTCAGTGATGGCAGAGGAGGTTGCTTTCTCTGTAGTGGCGTGAAATGAGAGATTTAGTGGTTTAGATATTTCGACTGGCCATGCATCCATTTAGCACGGGCCATTTGGCTCTAGACGACGGACCTCAGCTTTACATTGAGAAGACTTTGAGGTGGTTTAGCTTTTGTCGCAGAGGCCAAGTTAGAGTTCCTGTTGGAATCGTGTACATTCTGCGAACGCTGTAAACATTGTGTGCTTGATTTTTATTTTTTTTTAGATCTTTTGCTCTCTCGCATTTTCTTAACTGCTCTGCAATGTGTCTTTCACAATTTTCTTCTCAGCAATGCCATTATTCCATGTCAGCTTCTCAGCAGCTTTCATTTGGCTTTGAATGGTGTTGAGATGTGAGAGTTTTGTTGTGAAGCTGGTTGAATAGGAACCATATGTTTATACGACTTCTGAAGAGAATAAGTCATTGGTTTTCATAATAGTTGTGGAATTCTGCATTCTTGCACAAACATTTCTTGTGCCTATTTGTCCAAATGGCTTTTAAACATGGTAGTTTTCCTGCAAACTGTTTCATTATAAACAAGTTTTGGTTGCGTGTTTGAGAATGCAATTACGTTAATACTGTAGGATGTAGTGCAATATCAAGCACTTTTAAGAAGCTAGACTTGGTACATCCTTGTCAGTTTTCCCTTGAGTGAAAAAGGAGAGCCTGGAGTATACCATCAGGGCCAAAGCAAACAAATTAACTCAATTTGCTACATACTCTACCTTATGGGGCAGGAAGCAAAGTGACTTTTCTTGGCTAATACACAAAACCAATGTTCCCCTTGGCTAGAACCTCGATTGCCTCAATTTTGTCTTCTCTTTGCATGAAAATCAGTGTCTTTTTAAATAATTCTTACACTCTGTTGTTGTGGTTTTTCTCTTGGAAAGGTCGTGCTGATTGTGTTTTGAATATAGTGTTACGTTCCTACTGCCAGTTCCTTGGCGTTTCTCCAGTGGAGACTAGTTAGCTGTTGGTTTTTACATACGTTTATTATAGAAATCGAAGTGCTTTGAGTGTTTTGGCTTTATTTTTTATTTTTTTCAAAGTCTGAAAGGTTACAATATTTAACCTGAAATGCAGCTTCATGTTTGGACTACTGATTTTGGCAGTGGTGGTTTGTATAAGTCCAATATACTGATGCCTGACTTACTACTACATTTAATTGGCTGAAATATTGTTTTTGTAAAATGCAAAGTCTTGTGATTGCAGGTTGTGTTAAAGTTTAGGCCCGGATCATTATACGTGCAACATTGCACGTTCAAACAATGAAGGTCTACTGTATGTTTTGATAGCTTTGTTCTTTATGCTCTTTGTAGTTTAGTTTTTGTAGTTTAGTGTATTGGCCTTCAACCAGTGGCACTTGGATTTTTATTTTGCTTTGTTTTGTCCTTGATTTTGACTTTGTTACACAGAAATGACAACTTCTAAATGTTTTAAGGATGTCAGACTCAGTAGGTTAAACTGTATGTATAAAGAATGATTTTTAATGTTTGTGTGTGCATGTTTTTCACCCTCGGCATCAGTTGATTTTATGACTTTTGACTTTAATATTTATTGTGTAGTGCTGAATGGTATTTTGGAAAAATACAAGTTAATATACACTATATCGTTCAAAAATATGAGGTCTGTACAGTATTTTTTTAAATAATACCTTTATACAGTGAAGATGCATTAAATTGATCAAAAGTGACACTAAAGATCCTTCTAATGTTGCAGAATATTTATATTTCAAAATAATGTCGTTGTTTTTTTTTTATATAAGTTTCTATTCATCAAAGAATCCTGAAAAAAAATCCACAATAATAAGTTTCCACAATTATTTTTAAGGAGCACAGCTGTTTTCCACATTGACAATAACAAGAAAAGTTTCTTGAGTACCAAATCAGCATATTAAAATATTTCTGAAGGATGACATTGTATATTGTACATTGGTGACTGGAGTAATGCCACCACTGGAAAATAATGTTTTTTACTGTATTTTTTTTTATCAAATAAATGCAGCCCTGCATTTAAAATCTTGTCAACCCACAAATTTTGAGCACAAGTGTATAATGTGCAAGTATAATATGGACCACAAAACTAGTCTTAAGTGTCCATTTTTCGAAATTGAGATTTATGCATCATCTGAAAGCTGAATAAATAAGCTTTCCATTGATGTATGGTTTGTTAGGATAGGACACTATTTGGCCGAGATACAACTATTTGAAAATCTGGAATCTGAGGGTGCAAAAAAATCTAAATATTGAGAAAATCGCCTTTAAAGTTGTCCAAATGAAGTCCATAGCAATGCATATTACTAATCAAAAATTAAGTTTTGATATATTTATGGTAGGAAATTTACAAAATATGTGGAACATGATCTTTACTTAATATTCTAACGATTTTTGGCATAAAAGAAAAATCGATAATTTTGACAATGTATTTTTGGCTATTGCTAGAAACATACCCGTGCAACTTAAGACTGCTTAAGGGTCACATATGAGAGATCCAGAAATAACAGAGTTAAAGGAAAATACTGAATAGTGCTATTTCTACTTGAGCCTTATTGATGGGACTAAAAATGGCAAAACTGTGCATTAGTTAAACAAATCTTGATGTATATTTACCTTAGCCAGTTGTGATTGTCATAAGTCGCACCCGTCTTTCATTTTTTAGGATGATAATGACTGTCACAGCAACTGTTCTCTGTATGACACCAGACGAGTTTAGATTTATCTCTCATCTACCATCATAACTAAGTGCATGATTGTGTGTAGTTCGTGACCGTTGCTGCCGGAAGTCCCTTATATATACAGAAGTGAAATGAAATGATCTGTGTGAGCGCTGGCGGTGCAGGTGATGACATGTTGCCATGGCGGCGTTTAGAATGATGCCATCTCCACATTCTCTCAGGCAGAACCGTAGTGTCATATCCACACACGACTGACCTGAAATACCTTGATGGATGACTCTCCTTATCACCTCCTGCAGCAGAACCAGCGCTTTTAAACACTGTCCTCACTAAGAACTGGATGTGGGAAAGTAACCATGTTCTCACCTGTCTGAGGGAAATAGAAATGCGTTGGAATTGGAAAATGACTCGTGTTTGTTTTTAAGTAGAATGTTTTTGGTTGGGATGCAAGTCTTTGCTTGTTGTGTTCTATGGCGTCTTGCTTATTGTTGTTGTACTGCAGTGCTTTCAGATGCTTAGCACATCTGATTTAGATTTTTAGGATTCCGAGGGAAATCAAGGGAAGCGATCATATATGAACGTGGTTTTGCGCAGCTTGTCAGTGAACAACAGCTCTGTGTAGTAAATGCTGCTCCATGTGAAAGCCCGCAGGTGTTGGAGATTTACCGCTGATTACAGAACCGGCTTTACTGACAAGATACGCATTAAATATCGCATGTGATTTATCGTGCAGCCCTAGTTTTAATGGTTAAATTAAAAAGGATTAATCAAAAAACATGTCTAATTAATTGTAATCATGAAAC